AACACGCTCCGTCCCGAACCTACCCCGATTAATAATAAATACACATACGTATATATTTTTATTAGCTATATTTCTTATTTTTCTTTCATTTTCCTAATAATTTTACATTTTTAAAACTTAGGTTGTTTGGTATATATCTATACTTACTTTTTTCTTTTTAAAAATAAAATTCATCTTAAATTTGTTCAAATTTGAATTGTTCTTTCTTAAAAGACATGTCTATTAAGGTGCCCTGAATTTGCCTATACTCTAATGTGAGGCGAGTTTGAAAAGAATTTTCTGTTTATGGGACAGGTTTGAAATAAAAATGTCTCATCCTAAACTCATTCCACTGACATCGATCCCTACCTAATATAATTTACATTGGTAAAGTTGTACCAAATTAATTAATTATTATTATTATTATATTTTTGGGCTCAAATCACTCGAAGGAGAGTGTAGAGTTACTAATTTAGAATATTGTTAATAAAAAAAATTGTGCAACACTTATGTGGCTTATTTTTTTAGCTTTATATGATAAATATACTCTTCAAATTTCTATGAAGGCACTTTTGTCCGGTACATGTATGTGAAAGGACAATTATTCTCCTAACAAGCATTGGACAAAAGTATTTCACATCAATTTTAAGGACATATTTGTCATATGAAGCTAAAAGAACTTGCCCACATCAGTGTTGACCATTTTTCACTATTTTAGTGAAACTGGTTCATTACACACATATAACTAAAAGGGGGTAATTGTTATTATCCAAAACATAGGGGAGGTAAATGTAATAACTCTAACTAAATAGTTGGTAAGTGTAATTTACCTTAAAATAAAATACGAGTATACTCCGTATATGAAATAAATCTATCTATACTATTCTAAAATTGTAGCTAATTTCTTAACATTTTTAGATTTTTAAAAAATACAAATTATTTCATTAAATACTAAACATTAAATCACCTTATGATTCAAACAATTTTCAGTTTTTCTTTATAAAAATTCTAATGACGTGTCATTAAATCACCTTCTTTAACTCTCACAACTAAAAAAAAATAATAAAATAAAAAAAAAATGTAAAAGGAAAATAAAACACACCTTTTTTGTTTCTAAAATACACATCCACTCCATTTCAAACATTTTTGCTTATTTTAAATTTAGATTTTTTAAAAATACAAAATTATTTCATTAAATACCAAACATTAAATCACCTTATGATTCAAACAATTTTCAATTTTTTTTTATAAAAATTTCAATGACGTGTCATTAAATCACCTTATTTAACTCTCACAACTAAAAAAAGAAAAAAAACATGTAAAAGGAAAATAAAACACACCTTTTTTTTTTGTTTCCAAAATACACATCCACTCCACTTCAAACATTTTTGCTTATTTTAAATTTAGAAAAATTGTTAACATATATATTAACTGTATAATGATTCATAATGTTTATATAAATGTTACAACACTTTAGTTTCTTCTTATTACGTGTAATGATTATGTCTCTTTAAATTTTACAATATAACGGTTCCAAATAAAAAATCCTTTAATTTTCTATTATTACATTTGATTGGGAGTCTATACAAATGTACCAAAATTATCTACCAATTTATTTTTAATTTATTTACAACCCTTCTGAGTTATATAATTTCTAGATTTTATTTATTAAAAACCTCTATTTTACGTATCATTAATTCACCTTATTTAACTCTTTCAAATAAATAATACTCCTTAAAAAAATAAAAAATAAAAAAAAAAGCTATAATATTCCCACTATTTAAAAATGAACAGTTCCTTTCCAAAAATATCCTCCCAAAAATTCTAAAGCCTAATTCACACTATTCCAAACAAAACAAAAAATTGTAGAAGAAAAAAAAATGTACCCTATTTGTTTAAAAACAAAAAAAAAAAATATTCATGAAACAAAATGAAAAAGAAAAAAAAAAAAAAAAAAAACATAAAAGGAAAAAAAAAAAAAAAAAAAAAAAAAACAACACACAATTTTGTTTTTAAAACACATGCCCACCCCACCTCAAACATTTTTGCTTAATTTAAATTTAAAAAAATTATTAATATATATATTAACTACATGATGATTCATAACGTCTCTATAAAAGTTTACAACCCTTTAATTTCTTGCTATTAACTACAATAATTTATTTCTTTTTAAATGTTACGATATAAATGTTACAACCCTTTAGTTTTCCACCATTATATCTGATTGGAGTCTCTTCAAATGCACCAAAATTATCTTCCAATTTATTTTTCAATTCATTTACAACCCTTATGATTTATATAATTTCCAATTTTTTTTATAAAAATATTAATGATGTGTCATTAAATCACCTTATTTAATTCTCACAAATTAAAAATAAGAAAAAAATGAGAGGAAAAAAAAAAAACTATTATATTCCCACTATTTAAAAAGGAACCCGTTCCTTTCAAAAAATTCTTAAGCCTAATTCACATTATTCAAAAAAAAAAAAACGTAAAAGGAAAAAAAAAAGTACCATATTTGTTTAATAACAAAAATAAATAAATACACGAAACAAAAAGAAAAAAAAAAGAAAAAAAATGCCAAATAGAAAATAATAATAATAAAAATACAGTTTTTAAAAAAATTCTAAAGCCTCATTCACACTATTCCAAACAAAACAAAAAATTGTAGAAGAAAAACAAAATGTACCCTATTTGTTTAGAAACAAAAACAAAAAAATATTCACGCAACAAAATGAAAAAGAAAAAGAAAAACGTAAAAATAAAAAATAAAAAAAAAAACCATACATTTTTGTTTTTAAAACGCATGCCCACCTCCACTTCAAACATTTTTTCTTAATTTAAATTTTAAAAAATTATTAACATATATATTAACTACATAATGATTCATAATGTCTCTATAAAGGTTATAACCCTTTAATTTCTTGCTATTAAGTGTAATGATTTATTTCTTTTTAAATGTTATATATAAAGGTTACAACCCTTTTGTTTTCTGCCATTACATCTGATTTGGAGTTTCTCCAAATGCACCAAAATTATCTTCCAATTTATTTACAACCCTTATGATTCATATAATTTTCAATTTTTCTTTATAAAAATTATAATCATGTGTCATTAAATCACCTTATTTAACTTTCACAAATAAAAAAAAAAAAAGAAAGAAAAAAACATAAATGAAAAAAAAAATCTATAATATTCCCACTATTTAAAAAGGAAACCATTCCTTCCCAGAAAATTTCTCCCTACAAATTCTAGAGCCTAATTCGCATTATTCCAGACAAATAAAAAAATATATATAAAAGAAGAACAAAAGTATGATTTTTGTTTAAAAATATTACTAAGGGTATTTTTAAATTATGTGACGGTTCATTGTTTACAAAGTTTCTTAATAGATATTTCTTAAATTATGTGATGGCTCATTATCACAAGGTATGTCTTGTGAGTTACCCTAAATCTAAATAGTTATTTTTGCGGTTACCAAGGTGATGAAACTCATCTATTTAAATGAGATTACAATTTTGTTAAAACGATACATTATTGCCTTCTATAGCAATGATGGTGAGAGAGTGCACGAGGTAGGCATGACAATGACAAGCAAAGCAACAATGTGTACTATAATGAATTTGGCATCCTCATTCTTCTTCCATTTTTCATACTTCAATTCCAACAATTTCTTTTATATATATATATTTATATACCAAGTTATTCGTTTTTTATTAACTTAATAATATTTTTGCATTCTCACATATTAGTACTAAAATAAAATATCTCAATTTTTTTCTTCTTTCTCTTTTGGCAGAAGCAAGTGACCCTCCAATGCAAATTCTTCTTCCATGGCTTCCTAGGGCATATGATTTAAATAATGCACACATATTCATATGTATTGATAAAATTACTCTATTTAATTATATATAGAAGTTTTGTTACTTGAAATAAAAAATTGAAAAAAAAAAAAAATTATTTGTTGCAGGAAATTCTCGAAGATATTTGGATATAAAGGCGTCAAGTACTCTGGCAGCAATATTGGGTAAGTTGACTCTCCAACTTTAGTAGCAATATTGGATAACCTTAAGCCAATTCTTACTTTTTTTGTTTGCAATTATTTTCAAGTACTATGATTTATAGAGTAAATTAGTCAATTATAATTAATTATAAAAAAAAAAAAGTAAGAAGAAATATTAAATACTAAAACTCTTCAAGTAAGAAGAAATATTATTTATGGAAAAATATTGGCATGCAAGTGATTGGTGTTTGCATTTTTTATTCATGGTCGAATTTGTGATAGTTATATGTTACATACTAAATTTTTTTAGAACTAAATAAATTAATTCAACAATTTTCTCACAAGCCTTTAGGAAGTCAGGCTTCATTTAAGGTGAAATATAATCCTTCTCATATTGAATATGAATATAACAATTAAAATCTTGTGTTTCCCTTAAGTGGATTATGTTGTGATGCAATGGACTTTCTATCATTTGTTTTTAAGAAATAAAAAAAAAAATACATAAGGTTTTGGCAATTTTGGTGGGGTGTTTTTTTGTATTAAATTATTATTATTATTATTATTTTTTTAGGTTTCAACAATTTGAGGACTGAAATGATTAGAGTTTTTCTAGGATTATTGATGAGAAAATTTGTGAAGAATAAATTACAAATAAATTGGAAAGAATATGCAAGTTGTGACAACTATATTGTAGATTTATAATTGCAAGTCAAGAATAATTTATATATTTATAATTGTTGCTTTGTTTTTGAACTGTGAACTTATTTGTACAAGTTCAAAAAAGAAATATTAAAATAGTTTATGATGTGTTGCAATATTACTATATCTCTACAAATATATATAAAGTGATTTATATGATAGCATATTATATCATATTTCATTTCTACCCTTCAATTCTTCAACTTATTAGGATTTTTTTTTGTAAGGATTTTTTTTATCACGTGCATTATGCACGTGCAATTTTGCTAGGAACTAAAATAAAGGGTAGAAATTTCACTTTCTTACCTAAACCAAACGCACCCTCCGGACCCCCTCTCAGCCTCTTTTCCATTCCAAAAGCTGAGGGTGCATCCATAAGAGCGCGTCTCTAACGTCGCCGCCATTTCATTCCTCGGCCCTGCTTCCTCACACACACAGTCACACACAAATTATACGCATGTGTCGATTATCAAATAGCTGAAAGAAGTTCTGAAGAAGAAAGAGTTGAAAATGAACCCAGAATTGAAAAAGAAAGAACTAGATATCTACTTCCAATGATTGTTTGAAAGACAAAGCAGTAGTTTCTCTAACAACACACAACAATGACGATCCACTCCGTTCTCATCCAAAAACTCCTCAGCACAAGCGCCAATTCGCGCAACCGGGTCGTCGCACACCACTTCAAGGTCTTCACCTACGGAGCCCGAAACGAAGTGGCCATTATCGACTCAGACAAAACCCTAATCTGTCTCCGAAACGCCTGCAATTTCATCGGCAACCTTGTCCGCCTAAAGGGTCGAGTTCTCTTCGTCAACACCAACTACCTGCACGATGAAATTATCGAACAGATGACGCAAAGGATTGGCATCAAGAACGACACTACTTGGCGGCTTAGTGGGTTCTTGACCAACCGTGGAAGTCCTAGGAAGTTTAAGTCCAGAAAGAAGAAGTTCAATCTGTGTTCGATTCACCCACCCGACTGCGTTGTGTTGTTGGATACGGAGAGGAAGTCGTCAGTGTTATACGAAGCTGATCGGCTGCAAATTCCGGTGGTGGGTTTGGTGGATTCGACCATGCCGTGGGACATGTATAAGCGGATTACTTATCCGGTTCCGGCGAATGATTCTGTGCACTTTGTGTATTTGTTCTGTAATTTGATCACGAAAACGATTCTTCTCGAGCAAAAGAGATTTGCAGCGGCAATGGGTGCCACTGCCAAAGAAGAAGAACCACCTCAAATTGGGTATGATTGTTTAGCAAAACCCTTTTTATGTCTCACTCTTTATTCAACTTAAGCATATTTGTTGTGGGTTGGGGTTCTACTTATTTTCACCATCTTCATGAACATAATCTACACTAGTATGGTTTACGGTACAGTGTTTCTTAATTTGGTTTCTCAATCTTTGTGCCTTTATGGCATTTCTTTTTGCATTATATGCTTCTTTTAAGCTATTCTCATTGTCAATGGTAAATTTTTTTATAAAATTTGTAAACTTACACAGCTTAGACGTTGCCATTTGTATTCTCTAACAGGTTTTATTATTTCAAAATCTAGTTTAACATTATTCTCTTTTCGGCATATATCTTCAATTACGCAGTGACTTTTTTTAGTTTCAGTGTTTTTTATTTGTTTGATGCAATTGTGTATAAGCATTTACAAGCTCATTCTTTAATTTATAGGTTGTATTGAAAGGGTTCATTTATTTTGTTTTGTTTGAGATTTGCATTGCAGGGAGGAAGTGCAAGACAGTGCGAAATATGAAATCTCCGTTCTTCCTTATGAAAGCTTATTCCCTCCTACTGACGGTGATGATTTGATTCATTTTGTTGCATCATTTATTAGCTCATTGCTTTCTTCTTTTCCCTGTGAAATTGCAACTCCTTAAACCGGATCATTTTTAGATAACAATCCAATAGCACTCTCTTATGGACGTTTACTATTGCCTTGTTTAATTGCAGCTTTCTTGGAAAGTATTTTGGACAAACTTGCCGTGCTGAAGTTCAATCGTAGTTTGGGGGAACAAATGGGTTTTAATGGTCCCATGTAAGAATTTTTCTAAGAAACCTATCAAATTGCCAGTCATATTTCATTATGAATCACTAAATGAGGATTAGTATCATTATTAGATAGGTATTCCTGTTTGTTGCTTGATAATATAGTGCACGCAGACACACACACACACACAAATATAAAAGGGAAGCTACAAATACAACTGCCAATAGAATCTGGTAACTGCTTAATTTTTTTTTTTTAAGAAAGAAGTAGCATGTATGATTTTTTTTTTCAAAGATCTTGTCTAAGAGAGGCTTTAAAGATTGAATGCTGTTATAGATTTACACAGGATGTTTCCTGTGGTTACCTTGTGGTTGTAGGTTTGTGTCAATCAGTCTATACAGTAGCTAGATGTTTGTGATATGAGATAAAATTTATATTTACTTTATAAAGAATGGTGTTTGCATCATGTTTGTGCAATGTGGGGTTGGCGTCAATCTGTCTATTTGGTAGCTAAGTGAACTATTACTGACAGATATACCAGTTATTGACTAATTGCTTATTAACACTCTCCCCTAGCTCAAACACTTAGAAGTGTTGTCTTAATGTTATTTGTTTTTTGTAAAATATCCTACTCTTTTCTCATCTTGTCTTAATAGAATTTTTTTCCCCTTTCACAATGTTTCCTCTGAAAATTAAAATTACTGCTTCCAGGTTCTAAGACGGTTGGGACCCTTCTATTATATTTTTCGGTGACTAATATTAATCAGTCTCAGAAGTGAAGATGAACATTTAATTTTATCTTCCGTCTACTTATCAATACGTAATGTTGTACGAAAAGAAACCAACTAGCTTTTTCTTGGACAAATTATAAGCTTATTACATAATGAAATTGAATTGATCATAATTCTTCCTTGACAAAAAAACTATTTTTTATATATTTAACGCAATTGAAAATTTATAGGAAATTTTGTTTGGTAAGCTACATGAGCAACTGGATTGCATTCTATACTAGTGCGGACTTACTTAAATATTTGCCAATTTTCTTAAATTAACTAGTAAAGTCTCAATAGTGAAGATTAAATGCGACCCCACATGCCCCTGAAATTGCCCGCTTTTGGATCTTTTCTTAATATTTAGATATACATTATTTCTTTTGGATCTTTTGTTAATATTTTAGACCCATCCCAATCTTTAATTTCTCATGCAGATCCACGATTGAAGCTTGTAATGGGTTGACAAATTTAGACTTGTTTGTTAATCAGATAGAGGTCAGTTGTGGTCTTTTCTATTGTATATATATTTTTGGGTCCAAATATTGGCATTCTTAAAACCACCATTTTAATTGTTTGCAGTCACTCAATGATAAGCGTGGATGCGATATACCCCTGATTCTGATGAACACAATCAGGACACATGATGATACCCTTAAGGTGACTGATCTTTGCCATTCCCTTCTTGAGTTATTGACCTCAGATATTACTAGAACCTCATCTTTGAATCTTGTTTAATGAAGGTTTTGGAGAAATATTCTGAGAAAAATGTTAACATTGTTAGTTTTAACCAGGTTTGTTTGTAATCTTATGGATGTTTCTTTCTAGTCTCTATATTTTGTTATGAAACCTTAACATATGACTTACTCTTGAAAAGCAGATTCTTAAGTCTCCAAATTTTGTTATGAAACCTTAACTTATGATTTACTCTGAAAAGCTTAATCTGTTTTATATAGAGCGAGACTCAATCAATGACTGATGGACAGGCCGGAGAGGATGAAGAGTAAGTTATCGTCTTTACATCTCTTCTGTTTATTCCTTGCACATTTAATTTGTCTAATCTATGTACTGAAGTTTTAAGAGTCTTGAAATGGCTGAGATGGGGAATCAATGAAAAATGTTTAGATTTCTTTTTTTGGTTCTACTTTTATTAGTGTTCATAGATTTCTCTAGCCAATGAAAAAACCATTTCACTTTCTTGTAAGTGTATCAGGTTTACCTATGATGTAGATCACGAGTTACTTCTTATTTGTTTGGAAATTTAGGACTTCATTACATACTTTTATCATGCTGTCAACAACCTCCATTCAAGAGTTCTCAGTTATGATTTTTATAGGATTTGTGGAGAACCCTTAACAGGCCTGATACTTTGGCATTGTGGCATTTGTAGTAATTGATATGGTCATTATCTAAGTCACATAATTCTTCTAAATGAGTATCGCTCTCACGCTCCGCGCAAACTCTTGCTCCCAATCCCACTATGACTTAGATTTTGCCACTTTCGTGTTCCCACTCTTGCATTCGTTCCCTCTCCAACAACCGGTTTGTTTGACTTAGGTCATTATCAAATTAGGCCTTGTTGTTGCCATTATGATCATTGAGATCCATGTTCAACTGTAAAGTGTTTCATGTAGTGTTGCACATATTGAAAGGCTTATTGTCCTTGTAATTTATCTGACAGTAACTTCTTTGTTCTTGGTTCTTAATGTGCGGGGCAGTTTTATACTTGTAGTAGAATTGTTTCGATGTTGATTGGCTGGGAAATTCAAGATGCTATTTTTTTATAGTGACTGGTGTGAGTAATGGTCCATAAGAAGGCTGTCATGCCGCTTATGGGCTTTTATGAGTGGTGTTTCATACTATACAAATCTTCTAATCCCAATAGTGGCTTTGTCTTGAGGTGCTTGGAGTACAGTATTCCTGAAAGCAAAGAAGATCGCTGCACTTGTACTCCTAGGTCATGAAAGCTAGAACGAACTAGAACCATTATTGGCGTTGGAATAAACTGTCTAGCTGGCTAGTGATTCATGAATTTTCTACCTAGAATGGATATGGAAAAGTTTGTTTGTCAATTCCTTTGATTATAGTGACTGTGTGAAAGTTGGAATTGAATCAGTGGTTGATATTTAGCATGGAAGGGGTGCTTGCTGGTTAATAGGGTGGATTCAGTAACATTATTATTGGTGCAATATGATCTTGGTGATTCCAAACGTTGGTTGTGGTGACATTCAGGTTGTGACAGCAGCAGCGCTGTTGATTGAATGTATTGTTGGTTTGGTGGTAACCGTGGTATAAATGATTGTTGTGGTGGCAATGGTGCAAGTGAGGTGCATTTGTTGCAATGTTGGTTCTTATGGTTGTTTCAAAGATGGATTCCTCACTTCTAAAAATTATGAAAACACGATACTGATGAAAACAATGATAGACTCAAGTCTTCTCCTTGTAGCACTCCATGTAGTCAAAATACATACTAGATCATCATTATCTTTGTCATTGTCCTTCCCTTAATCCAAGTGAATGGAGTCGGCAACATGGATTCACTTTTTCTATTCTTTTCTATTACAAGCCATCTCTCCTATAAGATTTAGCCTTTTAAAAACATTTCTAATAACTTCATTCATATTAATTTTGGTATCCCTCTCTCCCGGTCTCCCCTACCTTCCATGCAAATTAGTCTTCCTCTTCTTACCGGTGCCTCTCTAGGCCTGTGATTCTATACTATGATGATTTGCTAATTTTTGTATTTTGGTAATCTGGTTACCCCTTATGCATCCACCTAATGGCAGTATGCATTTTAATCAAAATGATAATCATTTTTTTTTGCAAGTTTCTTTCTCTGTAATATTATTTTTTTCATGTTTGGCAAGTAATTTTTTTAACTTGGTCATTAAATCTTCAAGTTGAGAAACCTTCCCATAGAAAAATAGTGATTCTTTTGCGTACTAATCTGTCATATATGATTAGACATGGAATGATTGACTCAAACTCTCTCTGTGTTTGGCCTAATTTGTTTTTGTTCACATGTGAAGGTATCTTTCTGATGATCATGAAGTGTTCCTTTCCTTGAAAACTAGTGGTGTCCTTGATGACTTATTATCTCAGGTAGACATTATCAAGCAGCTTCTAATTCTGGTCTTGACTTGTTCCTTTCTTTTATATTTTCAGCTTGATTGTAATGAAATGGCAGATGTTATGGGAAAGAGACATTAGTTGTTTGTTTCATGAACTTACAACATATCGTAATCAAACTTCCTCAACTTGTTTTCCAGGGTAAGGAGTATATCCTTGTGGTTAATTCAGATAACCTGGCTGCAGTAATTGACCCACGTATCCTTCTTGTTTTTTATGGTTCCCAATTTTTTGATTCCAAGTTTTATTGATATTTTGTTCATTATGATCTTTATGTTCAAATTGTGCTCCTTAAATAGGTTTTTCAGAAATTTTAAATCATCTGATTCTGAACAGTATTGAATACTGTATGGAGGTACTCAAGAATGACTGCCACTCCCTATGCCTACATGGTTCTAAACTGTTCCTAAATCTTCATGTTTTTGCAGGTGATGCCTGCCACCTTGCCTAATTTTCAAGGAAGTTTTCTTAGTTCTCAAGAAGGGAAGTTTCAGGTTGGTTGTATTTTAAGTTTCTTAGTGTATATATAACCCAACACCATGCATCTCCCGTGTGCAATTTTGCTCAATCTTATCCATTGCATTGTCAATGAAAAAGAGATCCAATGAATAGGAGGCTCAAAAGTTTATCAGATAGATTCAATCAGAGCTCTGTTTATGCTTCATTAGAGATGATATAAGTGATCGTCCCTAAGGGTCATCATTCGTGTTTTATTGAACCAGAATTCTATCATCATCATCATCATCATCATTATTATCATGTTGTATTTCCATTTCTAATTACATATCATATTTTGTCAAATTTGGTAAAACGACTCGTTTTCTGATCGCTCCTCTCTGGGTACTATCCCTTCCCTACATGGCTCAGAACTGATAACAACTTTTAGCAAGAGGAGAAATGTTACTCCTTAAGCATGAGGTAGTATTTCTTTTTTGAATGACTTATGAACATAGGAAATATATGTATATATTCAATAAATTTCAGTTCACGGTTCAAACAATATATTATTCTAGGAGAAATTAGAATCCAATCCGATTGTATATTTATTGTCTTGGTTTGACAAAGTTTACACAATACTGGTTCCAGAAGAGTCTCATCTTTTGAGCAAGAAGTGAAACTACAAGAAAGCTTTATCTTTATGGATGACAAATCGATTTTCCAGTATAGTTGGCGGACCAAGAAACTTGTTGAAACATGGAAGGATCATATGTTTTGACCCCATTAGTAGAACAACTACCCTCTAGCATGTTTCAAACAGGAACCTCATATTTCTTCGACAATTTCCCCTAATTGTTCTAGAGCAAAATTTAGTTTAGATGTAGAATTCCTACCCAGAACCCCATCTTCATAGCAATTATGCAGCTGCTAAAAAGAAAGACATCATAACCTTCTTGGAGATGGTGTCATTTGGAGCAATTATGTCCCCAGGACATCCTAACCTTCTTTGTTCTTTTGGGTTTTTGGGCGTAATTGTAAATCTATGGGGGATCTTTCGGAGTTTGTGGATGGCTTGAACTTTTAGTGACGCCTTGGGCGTCCTTTGTATTCTTTTGGGTTCGCTCCCCTTCTTGAGCGCCTTTAATGATATCTTATCAAAAAAATTGTCCCCAAGTAGGAATGTGGCAAAAAAGGCTTTGAGAGAGACGAAAGGAAAAAAAAATTATCAAAAAAAAAAAAAAAAAGTGATGAAATACAAAATTAGAGAAGTTCTAAGGAATGACAAAAAAGCAAGAACCAAGAGAAACTAGAGAAACGCAAGAAATTATAAAATAAAGTTAGGAGGATGGTTGCTAGAGCCAAACATATCTCTTTAGACCATTTATGTGAAAAATTAGGTACAAGACGGCGGAAAAACTATTTACAAATTGGCAAAAAGTTAGGGGTAGATTGACTAGAGATATGGATCAAGTTTGGTGTTTTAAAGACGGAGATCAAAAGATATTATTTAAAGAGGATGACATATTAGATAGGTGGTAAAATTGCTTTCAACAACTTTTAAATGAGGAATATTCTAAGGAGGACTTTGAAAATAATGAGCCTAATCTCGGAAAGATCGGTAAAATCAATATTAAAGAAATAGAGGACACATTGCGAAAAAGGGGACAATAAAGTATTAGAATCGTATAGCATCCCTATAGAGGTATGAAGAACATTAGGAAGGGTAGGAGTTGAATGATTAATAATTTTATCTAAGAAAATTTTGGAGGAAGGCACGATGCCTAATGAGTGAAGAAAAACACTATAGTACCTATATACAAAAGTAAAGGAGATTTACAAAATTGTGGCAATTAGTGAGGAATTAAGTTAATGAGTCATACAATGAAGTTGTGAAAAAAAGAGTAGTTGAACAAAAATTAAGTAAAGAATGTACAATGTTCGATAATAAATTTGGTTTTATGCTATGGAGATTTACTATAAAGGCCATTTACTTGGTAACAATTAGTGGAAGATTGTAGAAATAAACAAAAAGACTTCGGTGTTGTTTGATAACTCAATTCAGTGCTTAATTCTGAACAGATTAAGCGCTTGTTCAATTAAGTGCGTTTGATAATGCAATTTGAACATCACTGAAAACGGTAAGTGCTACTTAAAATGGGGTAAAATTTTAAGTGACATGAACATCACTTATCACTGAATGCTGAAAATTAAAAAAGACATAAAAAAATATTTATTTTTTAATTACCACTTAAAAACTTCAGTACTTAAAATTCAGCTCTTAAAATTTTCAGTACTTAATTTTAATTTTATCAAACAACACCTTACACATAGTTTTTATAGAATTAGAGAAGACGTGTGATAAAATACCAAAAGATATAATTTGGTGGGCTTTATAAAACTTATTCAAAATAGAGCTAGCCTAGTGTACAAGGCTATTGCCTGTGTGGGGTTTGGGGAGGGGCCATATGTATGTAGCCTTACCCCCGCATGCAGAGAAGTTGTTTTCATGATTCGACCCGTGACCTCCAGGTCACAATGGAACAACCTTACTATTGCGCCAAGGCCCACCTTTTTGCAATAATAATAGACAAAATAACAAAAGATATTCAAGAAAACATCCCATGGTGTATGTTATTATGGAAGCCTTAGCAACAAAATTAGAAATATAGGGAAGGCATTAGAATCAAGGGGCCTAAATATCAGTAAAACTAAAATGGAGTATATGACCTGTAAATTGGATAAAGTATACATCGATGACAATATAAATATTACACTTCAAGACCAAATAGTTACTCAAAAGAACTCTTTCCGCTACCTAGGAATTACAAAGAGATGGGGAGATAGATAGTGATTTAGCAAGTAGGATTGGAGCGGGGTGGACAAAATGGAGGCAAGCTAGTGCCAGTGGTATCCTTTGTGACAAACAAAAACCAAATAAATTAAAAGAAAATGACTATAGAATGGGATGGGTATTAGGCTAGCAATATTTTATGGGGCATAGTGTTGGGCATTGAAAAAGACACAAATAGAACGCATTCTTGTAGTGGAAATGAGGATGCTACGTTGGATGATAGGAGTTGCTAGAAGAGATAAGATAAATAATGAATGTGTGAGGGGAACATTAGGTATAGCACCTATAAATGATGAAATTAGTGAAAGTAGACTTAGGTGGTATGGTCATTGTGAATGTAAGGGTTCAGAAGCTTGAGAAATCACCTATGCTTTGACTGGAACTAAACTGAATGAAATAATCGAACACAGAAAGAGAGAGAGAATAAGCCAAAAGGGATGAATGTGTGTGTGTGTGTGAGAGAGAGAGAGCAAAAATGAGGCAAAGTGGAAGTGGGCTTCTTGACGTGGGGTATTTATAGGGCTCACGGCTTAGTTATGTGACAACTGTCATCCACCACCTGCAACCATTTCGGTTAAATTACAAATATACCCTCAGAGGGGTGTCTATGGCACGCGGATGCTGGATCCACACGTCCAATAGTCGCGTTCTTATACTGTGTAATCTAACGAACCTCTCTCTCAATCCTCCATTCCTCGATCAACCCATCTTCCCGTTTGGGACTGTGACGTCACATGTCTCGATGTGACACCATAGTCGCCTACGCCATATCACTGCGTGCAAGTGGATATAGCTTCCCAACCTAGATCGTGTTCTTTAACCAGTTCTATCTACTAACCCTTGGTGATAGCCTCGCGACTAGCTTTCTCCTGTTTTAGCAGCAGAACTTAGTTCAACACTCTCTAGGTCAATGCTACAGTACACGACACTAGGTTATGAGTTTTGGCGTAAGTGACATTTCGTATTACACCTTGTCCTTCAATCTATGTGATTGTTTGGTCAAAGTATTCTTCAAAATGCTCTTTTGATTTAACTGCATAATCGTTGTCTCAATGTGTCGTTACCGTCCTGGGATGCACCAAGAGTTTCTGTATATGTTTATTCCCTCCTTCAGAACAACATATTTAAAGATCCTCAAGATACACCCGCAAGGGAGAGTGCCCCATTTTCTCATCCCTCAAGCATGATCAATTCCTTATATATATATATATATATATCTCCAAGTATGCTTTAATTGTCCTATTGACCCCACTTTAATCCTTGTATATTTAAAAAAATGCGTGCGGATGAGGTCTACCCACACTGTTGTGAGGATGAAATCTACCCGCACCATTGTGCAGATGAGGTCTACCCGCACTAATCTTTCCTTACAAAACCTTTTTAGCCTCTTTTTACTAAAATAATGAAACAACAGGCTTTTATTTAGTAGTGCTAAAGCATTTGCCAAAGTCAAAGTTTCCATCACATTACTTGTCCTTGCATGTACAAATATCTGTTATATATATTTGTTGAATCATATCATAAACATATATAATATATATGTCTATAGTATTAGATAGTTAGTTCATACTAAACAAATAATGGAACCCCACCATGCACAAGTCCGTACCTTATTTACAGATGCCCCCTTGCATTCGATGCACTTTTAAGAGCGTGTGAATGCAAATAAAAAAATAATAATAAATAAAAAACAAATAAATAAATTAGTTAATAAAATTAAAAAAAAAAAAAGTGTTTGAATCCATATATTTCGCTGTATCTTTCCAAGCGTGCATACCCACATTTACAGTTTCCCCCTTGTGTGCGTGTGTTTACTTATTAAAACACGCACACACACCTTTAATTTCAGGAAATCCGTTTTACAAATTATAAAGTAACTAGAAAACAATAAAGTTTCTTAAAATATTCTAAGTCTAGCTTTTAGAAACAATTTAATCCTTATAAAGAAAATGTAAGTATCTTGAAAAAATACGTATATTTACTTGATTATAATTTCTTGAAAGAGAGGCTTAAAACCAATAAGCTTGCAAGATACTTAGCGATAAGCTAAGTATGCTAGAAATGGATACAAAGCGAATTGCCGAGTATGCTTAAAATAAAATACAAAGCAAATGGCTAAGTATGGTAGCAATGGATACAAAACGAATGGCTGAGTGTGATAAATTCAAATACAAAGTGAATAGATAAGTATGTTTAGGAGTAATA